ATTTTTTTATTTTTATCTTTCAAAATCATACAAAATTAAATGTTGCATTAAACTTTGAACTTTAATTCATTTTATTATTTAAAAATCTCAGCTAAGATCTATTAAGTGTGCATTTTTCATTTCTTTTTCATAGAAACAACGAAAAACATTAAAATTTCAGTCTTTATATTTATAAAATCTCAATTCAAAAGGTAATAAAAAATTTAGTCTATCGTCTTTTATATTTGTGCCTTTCAAAAAAATATTGAATGCTATTCTTTAAATATCATTTTCCACTAATCATCACATTTTTTTTTGGTATTTGGAACATGTGATAATAAACTTGATAATGTTTATCAATTTTTTGTTTCTCAATCTATTGTTTTTTCTATACTCAGTTTCAAAAAGTAAAATATTTTTTAAATTCGCAGTCTCAATAATTGTGCATTTAAAAAAATATTTAATGAGAATATATTATTTGTTAATAGTACATAATTTTGAAAAGTCCATTATAAATTGTATGTTGATATGCAAATCGTTTTTCTAAATGCAATCGACTTTATTCAATCTCCACGAAAATATGGTAAAATAAAATGAGACGACCAACTTTGTATGGAAATAAAATAAAATTAATAAATTAATATAAAGTTCACATGAAATTAACATAATTAATAATTTGAATAGTACATGGATCTTAAAAATAATACTCACGTGGACTCTAAAATTCAAACTTATACTTATCATAGTCTTCTGGAAATTGAATAATATATGTTAGGCATTTTTTTTAAAATAATTTTAGACATGTTTTATTTATAAAATAATTTAGAAAAAATTTAGGTGACTTCACATCTTTCAATAATGATATATAAAATATTAGATACTTTAAATACGTTATATAATATTTTAGGTGTTTTTAATATTTTAAACATATATTTTTTTTATGTTATTTCATACAAGATAATTTTATATTGTTTACAACTGAAATTACGTTATATAATATTTTAGGTGTTTGATATTTTAAACATACATTTTTTGATTTTTTTTACAAGATAATTTTATATTGTTTACAACTGATATACGATAAATTATATCACATATTAACTCCACATCTTAATTACAATTATTAGTTAGAATTGTTTACCCTCATATTTAATTTATAATTATTAGTTAATATTATTTACTACCATCTTTAATTTATAGTTATTATTTAATATTGTTTACCCGTGCATCGCACGGGATACACACTAGTTCTAAAATATATAGTAATATATTTTTTGGTGAAAAAGTAAACTAAATTTAATATACTTTTCTCATTAATTTTAAAATTTAAGAATAATTTTTTAAGAAACACCTGTGTATTACCTGTGTAGTACTAGTTATGTACCTATAACATTACTCATAATGAGATGTACCCCTACATATAGCATTACTTAATATTTAATCTTTCGCTCCTTTAATCGATTTCATCATCATAAATCAAACCCTTAGCGGCTCTCACGCCTCCACATAGCAGAAACCCTACACTTATTATCGTTTTTAGTAGACAATTTTCATAGCAGCGTTTCAACACCTCAAATCCCTTCATCGATCATAATACTCCAAAGTCTCAGCCCCTCATATTTCCGGCGAGTTCCCTTTAACCGCGGGAAGCAACTT